GAGAGAGAGAGAACAAGTAGGAGAGGAGGAATGGAGGCCATCAAATGTTGTCCGTGCAACGTAGAACACCCTTCTGCCTCACGATGGAGCTCACGAGAGGAAGCAAAGGTTTAGCAAAAAAGTTACGACGTATCGCACTTTTCTTCCTAATAATGCCTTCCTGCAGAGATTGGCATTTAGATGGAGCTCACGAGAGGATGCCATCAAATGTTCTCTGTTTTTTTTTGTATCTTTTATCACAATACTTCATTTGCTTACCTTTTTAATTGCCAATCAACTTATTCGAATTTAGATATTTATCTTTTGATTATCAAATTTTACTAATAGATTCTATAATAAAACAATATTTGATGATTATAGTTTTATTAACAAAATTAATTATATATGTATATATTTTTGTGTCTTTATCTTATGAGACGACGAGCACCAAAATTGCTGCTGAAGAAAGTGGATCTTTTTGCGTTGCATGCACAGTGTTTTGGAGCTGCTCTAATCTTACTGCTCTTAAAAGAAGATAACATCACCCACTTCATGAGTGCGGTCACAGTAAAGCTTGTTGTTCCCTCTCCTTTTTGTGGGATTCACAAGACTCATTCTCCACACCACTTGCTTCCTCCTCCTCCTCCTCCTCCTCCTCCTGCGGCTACTACGCTTCTGATTCCTTCTCGGCCATGAACAAACACTCTGCATGCATATATTTACCTTGTCTTCACGTTCCTGGATCTCTTCATCCGCCAAAGCCATGGAATCCACCACCATGAATCCAGGAGGAGATGGCTCAGACGATCCAAACTCCACTAGGTTGCCTCTTCTTCTGAATCCAGTCTACGCGCGCACCAAATCCACAGTGTTCGACGAGCTCCGAAACTTCCGCGTCTGCCTCAAGTGGTGCGCGCTCGACCACTCCACCGCCGCCGGCAGGGCCGTGTCCTACGCCGCCTTCGTCGCCCTCGCCCTCCTCGTCCCCGCCGCCACCTCCCTCTCCGTCCGCGCGCCGCCCGCCGCTTCCTCATCGGCCTCCTCCGTCTCGTTCCACAAACTCGTCCAGGTCCCCGCTTCCAGCCTCGCCGCCATCTCCTTCCTCACCCTCGCCGCCTTCTTCCGCCGCTACGGCCTCCGCCAGCTCCTCTTCCTCGACGGGGCCCTCCGCGACGACACCACTTTCGTCCGCCACTGCTACGCCCGCGAGCTCGACCGCTCGTTCCGCCACCTCGTCTATATCCTCCTCCCCTCCTTCTCCGTCGAGCTCGCGCACAAGATCCTCTTCTTCTCCACCGTCTCCGTCGCCGTCCCTCTCTCCACCGCGCCGTCCGGCGTCCCCTGGAACTCCATCGCCTTCATCGCCACGCTCGCCTCCTGGGTGTACCGCACCGGGGTGTTCCTGCTCGTCTGCGTCTTGTTCCGCCTCACTTGCGAGCTCCAGATACTGCGCTTCGAGGGCTTCTACAAGATGTTCGACGAGGGAGACGGATCCCATTGCCAAGCCATCTTTAGGGAACACATGAGGATAAAGAGGCAGCTGCTGGTCACCAGCCACAGGTACAGAATCTTCATCCTCGGTTGCTTGGTGACCATATCGGCGAGCCAGTTGGGTGCCCTCATGATTGTTTTGGCCTCCAAATCTAAGAAGACCTTCTGCAACTCGGGCGACGTCGTGGTAAGTCAAATCGACAAACACTTGGTGGTCTCCTCTCCTTCTCCATGTACTTACTCTTCTTGCTCCTCTTGCTGCAGGTGTGCTCGGCGGTGCAGCTGAGTGGCTTCTTCATGTGCCTGTTGGGAGCTGCAAGGATCACTCACCGAGCTCAGCGGGTCGTCTCCATCGCCAGCCGATGGCACATGATCCTGTCCTCAGCCGCAGACCGCAAGGCCGATCCGCCGACGCCAGCCGTCGCCGAATCCGATGACATCTCCGATTCCGGCTCGCCTGAAGGATCCGTGGGGGGCGCGGTACCGCACGCGCAGGCTTCCACCTTCGAAGGCCGACATGCCTTGGGTGAGTGAGCGCGGTAACGCAAAGATAAATTGTCTTTTTTGGTTCATGGTGTATATGAGATGTGGATTGCTCGATGCAGTGCTGTACCTGCAACACAACGGTGGCGGCATCACGCTCTTCGGATTTGCGCTGGACCGGGGATTGCTTCACACGCTCTTTGTGTTCGAGACCACTATGGTGCTGTGGATACTGAGCAAAGTCGTCGTTCTCTCATGATCTCTTCTTCCACGGAGAAGACACACTAGTACGACACTCTTATCACAAACATGGAGTGGCCATATATTACTTCTGCGCCCGCTTTTCGCTCATGTCATATCTATTACTTCGTGGAAAGATTCCGCTATATTAAACTTATAATTTGGTAAAATAGGAAATAGTATTGTACTTATCAAAGTCTTTATAACTAATATATATATATATATATATATATATATATATGTTATTTTGATATGTTCCATCACAAATCATCGAAGGCTCGTGTTGATGTTGACCGAATTAGATGGAGGTCCTAATTAGCATGTGATTTGGAGGAATGAATACTCTATGAATTATAATTAATTCAAAGGATATTTCTGTTAACGTTTAATACTAATCTTCATAGGATGACACTCAAACTACGTCTGAATTAAATGCAGGAAAGGCTTTTTCTCTCTCTAATAAGAGGCGCGATAGAAACACCTGAGGCGACTCCGTCAACTTCTCCCACCTCCCTCGTATTCTTGGCCACCGGCCACTACCCTTTGTTCCCCCACCATCTAAACCACCCCTAGAAAGAAGCCACGCCATCAACTTCCGTCCTCCCCTAATCTCCGCGCGTCGTAATCCTCAGCCCATACCATCACCGGCCACGACGGACGGCGGGCGACAATCATGGCCGGCCGGCGGCCTCTACCGCTCTTCCTGGCGCTGGTCTTCCTCGCGGCACCTCCCGACGCCGCGCGCTCGTCGGAGGACGCCGACGTCCTCCTTGACTTCAAGGCTGCCATGTCCGATCCCACCGGCGCTCTCCGGAGCTGGGTGCCCAGCTCCGCCCCGTGCGGCAACGGCACCGCAAGCTGGGCCGGAATCATCTGCGACCACGACGGCAGCGTCTCGGGGTTGCGACTCGAGGGCATTAGCCTCTCCGGCTCGTTAAACGTCGCCTTCCTCGGGCGCTTGCCGAGGTTGCGCACTCTCAGCTTCACGAACAATAACTTCGAGGGGGCGATGCCCGACGTCGGGAGGCTCGGGAACTTGAGAGCAGTATACCTGTCGACGAACAAATTCTCCGGCGAGATCCCCGACGATGCCTTCGCCGGCATGAACTGGCTCAAGAAACTCTATCTCTCCCATAATGGCTTCTCGGGCTCCATCCCGGCGTCCATTGCGGCATTACCCAAACTTCTGGAGCTGGGGCTGGACGACAACAGGTTCGGTGGTGAGATCCCGGACCTGCAGGTGAAGCAAATGAATCGGGTGAACCTGTCGAACAATGACTTGGAAGGGCGCATACCGGATGTCCTCAGGAAGATGGACGCGGATGTCTTCTCGGGTGAGTACTGCTGTCGCCATGGCTTGCTTGGTCTCCTTCCGAGCTCGTAGTTCCGCAACGTTTGGATATGCTGCTGCAGGCAACAAACGCCTGTGCGGTGAACCTCTTCGAGTCCCATGCCAGCCGCCGTCGCCGTCGCTATCCACGATGTCGCCATCCACGTCGTCGCGAGGCTCAGCTCATCATCCGATCATCTTCACGACGATTGCGATCGGCCTCGTCGTAGCAGTCGTCGCGGCGATATTCCTCGTGCCCCGCCGTCGGCAAACGGGGGATGATGGACTCGGGCAGTCTCTGCCACCGGAGAACTCAAAGTTTGCATCATCTGAGGAGGAAAAGCTAGAAGCGGGAGTGGCCGGATGCCACCGTGGGGGGGGCGGCAGCGGGAAGAAGGTCGCCAAGGACCACGAGCAAGGGCGGCTGGTCTTCGTGAGGGAGAACAGGGTAAGTTTCCAGCTGCAGGACCTGCTCAAGTCCTCAGCTGAAGTGCTCGGAACCGGGAACTTTGGGTGCTCCTACAAAGCCACCTTGTCGAACGGCGCTTCGGTGGTGGTGAAGAGGTTCCGGCACATGAACAGGGTGGGGAAGGGGGAATTCGAAGAGCACATGAGAAGGTTGGGGAGGCTGTGCCACCCCAATCTGCTGCCACTGGTGGCTTACTACTACAGGAAGGATGAGAAGCTATTGGTCACAGACTACATGGCTAAGAGGAGCCTGGCCAATGCCCTCCATGGTGAGCATCTCATCCTCACTATAGTTTCATGACCACCAACACCAACTAAAGATCATAAGAACTTACTGCTCTCCACGCATTCACATACTCCATTTGCTTGTTCTCATGACATTTCTTTCAACTAGAATTACCATGATATAAACAAAAGTTGCAAATCCAGCAAAAGTTATATTATTGAAGCAATAAAAAAAAAAAAGAAGCTAAACTCGCATAAAATTTCCTTTCAAGTCCTGTGTTACTTACTCAGGCTTCTATGAACGAAGAGATAAGTTGCAAGCTCAGCAAGATCATAAGATTGAAGCAAAACACAAAAGCTAGCACAGTAGACGACTGCATCTCCTTCTTTATGTTCATGTTGAAGTAATGCTTCCAAAGTTGTAATGTGATGTTGGGTTTACTGATCAGGCTGCCGTGCATCAAACATTCCGGCATTGGACTGGTCCACACGACTAAAAGTAGTCAAAGGAGTAGTCAAGGGACTAAATTACCTCAAAGAAGAGCTGCAGATGCTAAGTGTTCCCCACGGCCATCTGAAATCCTCCAATGTTCTTCTCGACGATTCGCTCGAGCCACTACTGACGGACTATGCCCTCCTCCCCGTGATGAACCAGGCTCACTCGGGGCAGTTCATGGCCGCCTACAAGTCGCCCGAGTGCAAGCAGCAGGGAAGAACATCAAAGAAGAGCGATGTTTGGAGCTTCGGAGTACTGATACTGGAGATCCTGACGGGGAAGATCCCCACCACGGAGTTGGGGCAAGAGAAGGGGGGCTTAGATTTGCAAGGATGGGTGTATTCAGTCACCCAGGAAGAATGGAGCAGCAAAGTGTTGGACAGTGAGCTCAAAGCAACAAAGGACAGCGAGGGACAGATGCACAAACTGATGCAGATTGGATTGGCTTGCTGCAGGGAAGACATTGAGAACAGATGTGAGCTGGAAGAAGCTCTTGACAGGATTGAGGAACTGAAGGGGGGAGACACAAACGAAGACTGTGCGAGAATCCTCGCTACGGACGGAGAGAACGATCTTTCGACCGTTGACATCAAATGAGAATTAATCACAGTGAGAAAAATTGATAAGAGACGGAGTTAGAAATGAAGCAATCCACAATGCAAGAGGGGATAGACCTAGCTATTGGTTCTGTAACATTGAGGAGAGAGTTAAAAGTGGTAGGAATCATGAAAGAATGGTTTTGTTCTAGGATCCAAACACATTTACCTAATATTTTTAGCACCTTTTAATGCTCACTTCTCCTAGTTTCCACATGAATCTTATCCCTTGGTTTTTTTCGGCTTGATGACCAAAGGATTTTTCTGTTTATACAATAAACTCCATATAATAACTATTATCTAGCAAAGAAATTTCAACTATTTTGAATTGTCTAAAGCTTGCAATTTAATCAAGCATCAATTTTGCATTGCCATAGCATAACTGTGCACTTAAACAACATCCTAAATTATTAGATCAAAGCCTATAAAAAGGTCCAAGCAAATCCTTCCTCCTGATAAAAGATATACTAAATTATAACTCCCTTTAACATGATCTCTCTCTCTCACACACTCACAAAACTTGAGTTCAAATATTAAGGATATTAATGTTTGATGCTGCAAACTTGAAGGTGAAGACAGAAAGAGAAAAGGTCAGTGAACTGAATCAACCACAAGGGAGCAGAGGGCAAACTTGACAAGAAATAACTCTTGAGTAAGCAAAAGTTGAACAAGTTGTATTGACATCAACTAAAAATGGATCTAAAGTAGTTAGAAGTTCAATAGGATGAGCAGACAAGAAATTGTTGTTTATTTAAGAAGTTCAAATTATGCTTCCTTTCTTACCATTATTTCCAATTCATTTTGTTCATAGCATCAGACTTCCACTTTAGCTTCTTCACAGTAGTGATATAACATGGTAGAGAAAAGGAGAAATAAGGATGCTCATGACAAATCCTAGAAAGTATATAGTGTAGCTCTAAGAAAGAAAAGAAAATCTTATTAAGATGTGCCGTTGATTACGCTTACGATGAGTTGAAACACCTCTTTGTACGCGATTATATTGTGCAAGAGAGAAAAAATGCTTAGAACATTCTAATTTGACTCCTACCAAATAAAATCTTATTTTAAATAAAAACACAACGATTGAAATCCTAAATAATCATAATCGACTCATCCCATCTAACCAAACCAACCAACAGCATGGGTTTAATAAGACATTGCTAAATGGATCGAATATACCCACAATGACATAACTATATCATATCTATCTCATTCTCATTAAACACAATAATTAAAACAACAAAAAGCCATAATGTCCGACCATTGGGCATCAGCTACATGGGTTTTCTTCCGTCATTCCACTTTTGGTGTAAGGTAACATCTTTAGTTAAATCAAGAGCACTTTATTGTTTCTTAGTAGTCATTTTAAATATCCTTGTACTTTTCCTCGCACCACTAATCCTAATCGACTCATCTCATCTAACCAATCTAATGATTCTAATCACATCATCCATAGAGTTAGATGATTCTTCCTCATTTTATTTTATTTTTAATCAGCCTATACCTAAAACATGACAGACATAAATCTAATCAGATTGTTGTTCACAAAAGCATATATACTCAAGGTTGTGTTTGACATGTGATTAGCTAAGAATAGAGAAATTAAAATGATTGATCATGGTCATATGTAACATATGTACTCATAAACAATTACGAAGGGGTAGAATATGCCCAACTTATACCACAAGCATATTCCAGGTTTAGGTAAAGAGTCTAAAGACACATTTGGTTCCTGGAAACAGTTCTCCACCTGTTTGCCAACCAGGAATGGTGGTTCTTGTGACATTCTTAGCATCACTAAGGATTAAATCGAAATAATGTCATTAACCACATACAACCATCAATACCATAAATTACTGCCGACAACCTGCCTTCCCAGTCGCCCCAAAACAATTCAATTCAAATCCTATCAATTCAATCACAAAGCCGATCAGAACAAACAAAAAGATACCTGAGTCTTTGATCAAAATCACATTTTGATTGCAAAAGAAGTTGATGAGCACCAATATATAACCAGATTGAAAATCCATAGAGCTACTGTATAGCATTCATGCGTGATCTTGAGATCATAGTAAGTCCCAAAACAAGAAATATAACGAAAGGAAACATCTTAAAGCAAAAAGGCTTTAAAATCCACAGGCAGCCTAACCATATCAGCAGCAGCAGCAGCAGAAGAACTCATTCGAGCGGCACCTCGACGTCGCCATCAGATATCTCCTGCTGGAGGTCCTTGGGATCCTTCCCATCGACGGTGCACCCGACGGAGACGCACGTGCCAAGGATCTCCTTGACGGTGCCAGCGAGATCCTTGGCCATGGACCTGGGCCGCATGACTCGAGCGATTTCGACGACGTCGTCGAGCGAGATGTTGCCATTGTGTTTGATATTCTTCGTCTTCTTGCGGTCGCGCTCGGGCTCCTTGAGGGCCTTGATGACGAGGGCAGCGGCGGAGGGGACGACCGACACCTTGGCCTGGCGGTTCTGCACGGTGAGCTTCACGGTGACTCGAAGGCCCTTCCACTCCTTGGCCGTCTCCTTGGCGATGTCCTCGCCCACCTTCTTCGGGGAGAGCCCCAAAGGACCGATCTTTGGGGCGAGGGAGCTGGCGGCGCCGACCTCGCCTCCGGTGACCCGGACATAGACGTCGACCACTTGGGTGGGATCGAACTTTGGCGGCATGGCGACGACGGCAGCGGCACACGAAATCTAGAGTTAGGTTTTGGTTAATGCTTCCACGGAGAGGAGGGGATTGGCTTCACAACTCCTTATATAGCTTCCCATTATGTATGTTATTGGACATCCCTTTCGGTCCGGTTGAATCCATACGTTATTTAAAACCCGGTCCGGTGCAATTTAGATGCTAGAAAAACCCGGTTCGATCAGTATGGATTAATAGAGGCGTCGCTCTAAATTTGGATCAATTCAGCCTTCCGGTTTATCTTAAAATATTCAAAAATTGAAATGATTTTTTACATTAAGATATTTGTTGAGTTTGGAATGGAAAAATCGCCAACTAAACTTTAATCTCATATATCCACCAATTAACAACGGCATATCATTGTCCATTTAAAAAGCTAGTTTAACTATTTTCTAACCATTATAAATATTATTAATTTATTTAAATTAAAATATATAAATATGAAATACCTATAACTGTTCCTAGTAATTTCATGAAATTAAGAAATATTTGGAGGTTTAATGTAAATTAGAATTTCAATGCGTAAGTAACTTAAAATAAATTTTTTGATTTATGTGACACGTAATTGAACATTAGTTCAGAGAGATACGTACAAAAATGACATGCGATCCGTATAATCACATGCTCTGTATGCCATTCAAGCATGCATATACGTGAATAAACCCAATGTAATTGGGTAGAACAGTGCCATTAGGGTTATCTTTTTGCAATATTCTTCAATACCAGCTTCTTAGGGCTTCTTTCTCAAACCAAGAGACTGTTGGTGATCACAAGCAATCAATAAATCATAACATAAAAGAACTATTCTTTCCAGTACATGTAGGCTCAAAATTTCGTGCTTGAGCTGCTGCTCTGTTTGACAAATAATACAATGCATGAAATCAATTTGCATACATAGTTCTTCGATCCACCAGACATCCTACAAGAATACTGCGACCAAAATATTCAGCACTGAGCTGAGAAGTAAATATTGACCGGATGTTCAAAAAGTTGTGTTGCCAGAACTAGAGATGCTAGAAGTTCTTGCAGAAGATAATAAGCATTACTGCATGCTGGAATAGTACTCATGGTCAAACATCAGTAGTAGATATCAAACTTTCTGTGCAGGTGAGTTGGCGACAGAAACCAAATTAGCCAGTTGGTTTATTCATATTAGGAAGCATCAGGGTAATGCATGTCCAAAGAAGGATAAACTATACAGAAATGCTAACGGGAAGGTTCTCTGTTTTGTTACAAAGATGTGTAGTAACTAAAAACTAATTATATTTAAATATCTTAATTTCATAAAACAGCCCCAGAAAACAAGGCAAAAGAAAATAAAACTAATCACCAGGATACAACTATGCAAATTGAGTCATAGTGAAATTACTAACCATGATGTGACAGGAAATGGCAATTCTAAAGTGATCTTCAGAATGGAACAGTGTACATGTCACAATAATTAAGCCTAAAGTAAATCAAAATTAAGAGTTATACAAGGCTTATAGACCATTGAATATTTGCAATATGTATAAAATTTTCTTTGAAGTCTTAAGATCTGAATAATCTTTTTAATATTTCATATACGAATCCGAAGTATTTTTCTGAATGGAAATTGTTTTTCTGAATGATTATTATGCTTCAGGTAATGCTATATTTATATTTATCATAGGTTTTTTTGAGGCTATATATTTTTAATATATATTGTTGGAATAATGTCTAACACATCCACGTTTTGTCGTGACCTACTTTTCAAAATTGTTAAGTTGGCATGTTCACATTATATCATGTTATGTCAAAGTATATATATTAAAAAAAGTTGAAAGTTGAAAGGTGTAATTTCAACTTAGATCAACCCACATCTTTTCTGCCTATAGTTTCGTTGTACTTCAAAATTTAGGCAGCATTTCTGACACAAGATCCAAAAAACATAATTGCTTCTTTATTCTTTAAGTCCTTATAAAAGACTGAGATTATGAGATGAAAGAAAGAAATAAAAATGGAGGAAGGAAACTATATATTCCTCTTAAAAAGCCAGTCTTCCATGGTATTCAGTAGTTTGTGCTAAAAATTAATTAGACACATGCTATGTACAAATGGATGACTTTCTAGAATAGAAACATAAAACTGCATACCATTTTTCAAGCTTGAGAAAAGAAAAACAAAACTACTCAATGTCATGCCTATATAGTGAAGAATTAAGGTGAAGGGTTTATTAGCATATATTCATGAATTAATCAATATTGTCAGATATCTCTATATCGCTGGAATTCCATTCAAATACAAACACAGCTCATCACAGAAAGTTATAAGTTGGTTAACTAGAGACCAAAATTGATTATCTTCAATAAGGAAGGAACCCTGTTACAATCACAGGCAGATCACTAGACATAATGGTTTTGATCATATTGTTTCTGTAGGCAATAGAGTAACAGATTATAATTTCCAACTGAATGTGATAATACATATTGAACATGACCATACCTAAAATTCTTATTCAGTTTCAGAGTTGACACTAGCAAACAAGCAAGCCCCTTAACACTGAAACTTCTATAAGTAAGCATCTGCCTGTATGGCATTTGGGTGCAAAATGACAATATGTAAAGAATTGAGATACACAAAAAGCATGGAATCACACAGATCTTCCACTTCATTTAGCAACAACACATTATATTTACCATCATGTGTCGTTAAATTGTGTTGTATATTTTTAATTACTTCAAACAAGACATACCAGTATCCCTAAGTAATCACATATCACACTAAATGATTTTGTCCGATGTTACATGTACTTGCCAAATCTGGAAAATGAAGTGTCGGTGCTAAAACTAGGAATCTGACGGCTACGACATGAATCAATCAGCCATTTCATTCAAACCATACCTGAAATGCTAATGTTCTCTAGTCTAAAAGGGAAAAGAATGGTAACAATCTCGAATGAGAAATACCTGAGTGTTTCATTCTTGGTGTGCACTTTATGTATGTATTCTCTGCTCAAGTATATAAATCCTATGGTGATTGGTGACTTTCCAACCTCAAATTACTGAGTTCATTCGCTCCTAAAAGATATTCTGGTTGCAACCTCATCATTGTCTTCTGAGAAAACATCAATGAATTTCATCAATAATTCCAAAAGATTTGGTTTCTCCTGTATTGTTTTTTTAGATATATTGCTAGGAGCTTTGAATATGTCCAATCCCTCTGCCTTGTGGATTTTAATAGAGCCTCGGAGCTTGAATGGAAATCACCCTTACCAAAGACCTCAAAAACTAGCGGATCAGTTAACATAATTGGAGTGGCCTCAACATCCAATTTTCGTAATTCAAAGGAAATATTTCTTGCAAGCCTTCTCTCCAAGAAGGCATCCACAATGCAACCATATGTAACAAGATCTGGTATGACACGCTTATACCTCATGTGCTGGATGCTCAAATGGAGATCCCAGAACATAGACATCCTTGAATATGCCAATGCTCTGATATTGAACGTGGATATATCAGGTGAGAAACCAGCATCCAACATACCAAGAAACTCTCTTTGCAAGCTTTTCATTTTAAAATTTGCAGCATAAGATAGCAAAAGTAGGTTCCACAGAAGATTTCCCACATTCCGTCTGCCAAGACCTACATCCCGAAGAAATTCACCAAATTTATAGAATTGTCTTTGGTTTATGTACGCAGATGCCATCGCTCGGATCGCTCCCTTCTCAATCAGAATTCTTGATTTCTTCAAGCGCTCATATGCAGCTTCCATATCTTCCATTGAACCATATATGCTGTAATACTTAACATAAGCGTTGCCACTTACAGAGTTGACCTTAAAACCTCTTGAGACCATTTCTTTTACAGCTTCCTCCATCAACCGAAGCTGGCCAGCTTTCCCAAAACAAGAGACAGCCATCGTGTAAACCTCAGGACCGAAGCCAAAATTTCTGAGGGTGGTCTCATGGACAATCCTAGTTATCTCATCAAACTGGCCCATCTGGGCATAGGCCTTCATCAGATCCCAGATGACCTCGATGCGCGGCTCGAACGAGCTGTTTATGATCTCACCCCACAAAGCCTGGGCTTGCATGAAGAAGCCATTTTTAGCATAACAAAGCATCAAACCGGAGAGGACATCACAACCAGGCTTAAATCCTTTGGATTTCAATTCATTTACGAGTTGAAATGCAATGTCAGGTTCTTCGTTCACAATCACGGCCTTGACTAACGCGGCGTAGTCCTTGTTGCCAAGAAATCGATCATTCAGGGATCTTCCATGGATCATCTGTTATCAATGCGTGAACCCAAACCATCAATTCAAGTGTCGAATATGCTACTGACGCAATGGGATTTCTTTTGTTTCAGAAGAGGATTAGGCTCTAGATAAAGAGGACCGGTTACTCAGTGGAATCGCCCGAATCGACCTTACGAGTGCGGATGGATCGAAGAAGAGGGGATGGGGAATTGAAGACGGAAGACGAGATGGTACCTTCCGATTCGGTGGTCCTCGACGCAGCGGAGGAACCCAGGAACGGCGGGAGGCGGAGGCCCGAGGGAGGAAGATGGGAGGGGGAGAAGCCGCACAGAGGCGCGGATGCAGGGGTTGAGTTGCCATCGGCGGTGACGACGAGTCGAGACGAGTGGGAAAGAGATAAGCTCGTGGGCCGAGCGTAGCCTCACGCTCTTCCCCATGATTACCACCACGTCACCTGATCGTAAGCCATATAGTGAAGTCGGTACGCCAAGCAGTGACATTTCTCCTCACGGGTTCGGATCCACATCCATTTCGACACCCGATCCATGTCTGACCCGCTTCAAATTCTGTGCACGTTAGGAACGGTGGGATTTATAATCTAATGTATTTCATAAACGTAAAATTTAGTTGCCTACTTAAGTTTTAATTTTATTTTTATTTAACTAATTTTAGAAATGCCCTTTTCATTGTGTCGGTCGATAACTGCTTCATAATGTTCCTAAGGTGCTTTAAGATTCGTGTAAAAGCACTTGGCATTTTATTATACACTCGGAACCTAGTCTTTTTAATTGGAGGAATATATATATATATATATATATATATATATATATATATTCTTGTGCCGTTTTTTTGGCATCAAGAACAAAGCAAGTACGTTTCCCTCCGAGTAGCATGGACGAGATGTTGAAGCCCCTTCCCACTACCACGAATCAAGAGATTAAGGAGCCGGAGAGGAACGAGGAGGAAGAACACCAGGATCTCCACCGAGGAGACAAGGTAATGAGTTCGATCCTGTGCTTTCACCTCGATCTTCTCTCTTGCGTCGAGTTCTTGAACGCTTCCGATCTCCTGTGTGGGTTTGCACGTTCCAATGACCTGTTGCAATGCTGTGGAACGAAAGAACGAGGAGCCCTCAAGCGACAAGGAGAATGAGCAGAAGAAGCTTGAAGATGAATGAGGGCAAGGTAATACACTTGAGATCAAATGAACCTCACCTCTTCTCTTGACTTGCTTCAAGTTCTTGAAATCGTTTCTTGAATGCTTTTGATATCTTCTCTTGGTTTGCTTGGAGTTCTTGTAGTGTGATAGGGATAATATTGGCACCGTCCAACTCCCTTTGTCATCTAAACTAAAAAGATAATAAAGGTATGGGAACCAACGATTATTAATGATAGCATGCTTAGTCATCCAACCCCCCTCATTAATGCTTTTGTATTAATAACTGAAAGTAAGTCGCCCTCATTAATGTCTCTCGGTAATGTATGTTTGAATCGCTCGGTGTTCAGATATAAAAATCACGCCCCAGGCTAAGTGCCAAGGGAGGGCCAAGTAGACAAAAACCTCTTTGCTCTCTCATTTACATAGCTTATACTGCTATCTTCTCTCCCCTCCACTGACTTAAATATTGAAGGGGTTGAGCCGAGACATCCCTTGCACCGACTTGTTGTGCAGGATGATTGACAGCTAGGAGGCGACCCTATAGTTAGAAGATGACTTGACAGCCTAGGGACGAGCCCCTTGCTCACCTCGTAAGAAGCACTCCTAAGCACTAGCATCAGGGATTCAGGCCTTTGTAGCCCTATGGCCCTATGTCATCCTTTACAGTAAGGGAGACCTCCATTCCTCTACCCAACCTCTCCATTCCAAGGCCATATCAACCCCGACGAACTATCCCCCCAACAAACCTCTCTCATCAGTCTACCATGTTGGCACTCTATATTAGTGAGAAGGAGACACTAGGATGAGCCTGTACCTTCGGTAATGAACCAATCGGACTGACTAACTAATCGACGGTATACATGACATATCATTTTGGTGCTAGAGGAAAGGCGAAATATCGCAGGAACATCTTTCTACTACTCCCAATGAATCCTCGAGTAGAGAAGGGCTAGAGATAAGCCCCTTGCTCATCTCACTAGAAGCATTCTTGAGTGTCACTCAATAAGTCCAGACTCTTACCAACATGATGAAAACTATCACACCACTTCTTCCTTAGTTGACTTAACTAGCAACCTTGGCGTAATGACTCGTCCTCAGATCGCCGACCGCACCTCTTCTTCCCGAAGTCCAACCGAGGAATCCACGCTTCACCTTCCAAGGATCTCTTCAGCTAAGAGAGATGAGCGACTCCATGCCACACCTTCCAATGGCAGACTGTAGCGTTCCACCAAGCCGCATCAAAGCTCGGCCAGAGTCTAAGGCCCATTCTGACAACTCCTGGGAACCCTTGATAAAAGCTCAACTCCAAGTTATGAACCGAAGGCTGGATGAGGTCCAATGGGGTCCCATAGCGGCCCCCGTGAGCTCTCGCCTAGCGTCGCTAGAGCATCAACAATGGCTCGTGACGGTTCCTCGACCCCCTTGTTATGGCACGCTGCCTTATCCTCGATAGTGCCCCTCCAAGCCCCCTCGAGCTTCTACTTAACCTCCTTTGCTCATAGATGAGCTAGCACTAGCTTTAAGTATAGCTCAGTAGTTCGAACCTCAACAACCTTGCACCTCCGCCTCGTCCTCGGTGATGCCCTCCAAGCCTCTATAAGCCTCTCCTCTGCCTCAGTAGCCTTGTGCCTCTGCCACATCTTTGGTAGCTTCCTCTAGGCCTCCACGAGCCTTTGCTCGACCTCCTTTACTCATAAGTCAGCACCAGCTCTAGGAGTAGTTCAGTAGTCTGAACCTTAATAGCCCCATGCCTTCGCTATTAGTCATAGGTGCCCTACAAGCCAATCACGTAAGTGATGACTTGTGTGACATGATACGCATTATTTTTGTTTATTATATTATTTAATATTTTATCATTATATATATATATATATATATATATATATGTATGTATATATATATATATGTATGTATGTATATATATATATGTATATATATAGT